GGGGAAGCATTCCAGGGGCAGGTACAGAGATCAAAAATATTAAGGGATGTATGGAGGAGTGCAGAGAGATCAATTCTGGAATAGAAGGTATATAAAGATGTTGAAGGCTAGAAAGATAGACTGAAAAGATCCTGAAAGCTGTTGCAAAGAAATCTGGGAGCTCACTTGATAAACAACAGAGTGACTGGCTTAGCAAGAGGCCATAGTTTCATTATAAATAGACAACAGTTATAACCAGGACGTGAACAACTTTGGTGGCTCAGAAGCTTAAAAAAAAAAACTCCACAAAACTTGAGAAAGCCTAACTGACTAGGTTGTTTTAGGTTATTTTCCACCTTGCTAGGAATATAATATAGATAGTGCTCACTCTTGAAGTCAAAATTGTCAGTATGAACCGACAACTTACCAACTTGCTAAAGGCCTAATTAACTTACATTGAAGTTAAAATTTGACATAACACTGCAAATGACAAGACATCAAGAAAAGGTTACCTATGATTCAACTTCTAACTAATCCAATGGCCTTGCCCTTTTGCTGCAAAACAAAACCCTCCGGGCCAGGCCCAGTGGCTCATGTCTGTATTCCTAGCACTCCGAAAGGCCGAGGCAGGAGGATCGCTTGAGGCCAGGAGTTCAAGACCAGCCTGAGCAAGACCCTGCCTCTGCCAAAAACAGAAAAATTAGCTGGGTGCAGTGGTGGGCACTTGTAGTCTCAGCTACTCGGAAGGCTGAGGCAGAAAGATCACCTGATCCCAAGAGCTGGAGGTTGCAGTGAGCTACGATTATGCCACTACACTCTCCTCTGGGTGACACAGCAAGACTCTGTCTCAAAAAAAAAACACAAACAAAAAACCCCTTCAAATCTTAGGAAGAATGGACTGTACTGCTAACTATTAAAGTCTAAACAAACATTAAAACTCCAAACATCGAAACTTGGCTCCCAAGTATTGAAAATCTGTGCCAAATGAAGGTTTCAATTTCAACACACGAGTCTTATGGTAAAGAGTCGGCTCTCTGCCATATCTTGACAACCTCTTCCAACACTCTGGCAGAACCACAGTCTGAGCCCTTGGCAGAAAGGCCTCCTGCTGGGCTTCAAACATGGGACCCACTCACCTCAGGGTGTTGGTGGAAATGGCCACAATGCCCTCGGGACACTGTTCCGAGGCAAAGCCAGATGCAAATTCTAGGGTCTCATAAGACAGAGGGGTGAGATGGAAGCGAGACTGGTAAGAATAGCTCAACCATGAGCGGCTTGACATGGCCAATACCTGAGGAGAGAAAAACATCTCCAATAAGCTTGGAAACAACTCAAAACATGGGATGCTGATCAAACACTCTATCCCTAAATTTCAGTCTGCTGGATATTCTAGAAACCTAATAGGCTATCTTAAGAAAAAGAGGCCTAGAAACGAGGCAGTATGGCTTGGTATATGCTAAAAGCATGGGCTATGAGCCATATGACCAACACTAATCACTTAATCTCCCTGAGCCTATGTCCAGGAATATAAAATGGAAAGGCTATCATCACAAGGCTAGACAGCTGCAAGAATTAAATGAGGTAACAAGGAATGAACTAACCAGCACCTAACACTAATATTCTTAACCACAAAGGCTATGTTTCCCAATCTCTTTCACATTAGGTGAATATATTGCATCCATGATATTAATGTAAGACTGGGAAAATCATGGCTAGTGGTGCCAAGATGGGAGAATTCCAGCTACCCTCCAGCCCCTCTATCAGTCAGAGGGCTGAAGGGATTGATAACAACCCACCTATGAGCAAATCATGGTACAGTGCCATGGAACCCCAGTTAGGAAGCTCTGGATTAAGGAATTCAAGATTCCCCATATGAAGAAAACTAATCAAGACAGATCTAATGTCAAATCAGCTAACTAGTGGTCAATCAGCGAAAGTAAAGCTTACAATAAAGATTTTTTTCAGCTGGTGCCACTAACATCCAAACATGCTGTCTGCCCCCTTCCATTACTTACTGCCTCCTGGCCTTGCATTCGGACACGGAAGAGCTTTACAGGACGGGACCCCAGGTATCGAGTGCGAGTGTCAGATAGATCCCCAGTGACAGGGTCCAGAACTGTCCTCAGCAGCACACCATTCTAATCAAAAAGAGAGGAATAGGTGAAGCCTACTCATGAGGGAAGCTTATCAGTTATCATAAGGAAATTTCTCCCTTGGCTATTTTATACAGCAAATCAGAGTAGATAGAAAAAAAATGACTTGGTGGTTTAAAAAAGACCTGAAAATCAGACAGCCATTCATTCATTCTCTCAGTAAATGACTTACTCATTCAAATAGTTACACAGCATCTACTAAGTAAAAAACATTTATTTTCCACTATATACCCTTTAAATATTTTTTTTGCCATATACAATAAGCTCTTCTTTACAATTTTAAAATAGATCCACAGTTAAAAATAACCAGGCAATGGTCTCTAAACACCATTTCCCCTAAAATGACCAAGACAGCTAAGAGAAATGACTAATTTTGGGCTGGGGCAAGATTCTTCCACATACATGTGAGACACCTTATTGCGCAAGAAGGCAAAGAATCCCCTAAAGATAGTGGGAACATGTTAAAAGGAACCAACTTCAAAGGGGAACTCCCGTTTGCCTAAAATGAGGCAATTTAGCACCCCCCCCAAAAAGATAACAATAGTTCAAAGCACAAATATACAAAAATCCACAAGTTCACGGTATTATTTTTAAAAAACAAAAAAACCCACTTCATTGGCTCCCACGGAAGGGAGATTGCTATGGCCCTAACTTTTTACTTTGAAACAGCTGAACAATTGTGGGAGGGGTATCATTTTCCTGTACAAACTGTATTTAGAGTAAGCAAAGAAATGGAGCTGATTTTGTCTTTGAAGAAGAATTCCAGCTAACTGAATGTAGAAAAAAATAGAAAATCATCATTTTTAACCCCTAATGAAATTAAAAATCTAGGCAATGTGTATCAATAGCTATAAGATCGACGGGGAGCTTTAAAACAAATAAGATAGATATTCAGCTGGGCATGGTGGCACCTGCCTATGGAGTCCCAGCTATTTGGGAGGCTGAGGCAGGAGGATTGCTTGAGCCCAAGAATGTGAGTTTGCAGTGAGCTATGATGACACCACTGCACTCTATCCTGGGCAACAGAATGAGACCCTGTCTCCAAAAAATAAAATGCAGAGGATAGAGGAACACAACACACACAGGAATGACTTTGTCATGTCCCAAAGGTGGGAAATTCTACAAGACAAATGATCTGGTCACTCAACATTTAAAAATGGAGGTGTGACAGTGAAAAAGATGAAAAAAGACAGATGAATCAAATGAAAAAAAAAAAGTGTGGACTGCTACACTGAGATCCTGAGTAGAAGCAACTATAAAGCCATTTGCAGGGAAAAAAGAAAATCAGAGAAAACTGGAATATGGTGTTAAAGAATTATTGTTGTATTCTGCTGGGTGTGGTAACATTAATATCTTACAGACACCTGTGGCCAAGCACAGTGGCTCACACCTGTAATCCCAGCACTTCAGGAGGTTGAGGTGGGAGGATGGCATTAGCCCAGGAGTTCAAAGTTGCAGTGAGCTATGATCATGCCACTGCACTCCAGCCTGGGAGACACAGTGACACTCTGTCTCTCAAAACAAAACACCATAAATATCTGTTAGATCTACACTACCAAGCATTTATGGATGAAATGATAAATCATCTCAGATTTGCTTTAAAATACTCCAGGAAAAAGAAAAGAGAGAGAATAGATAAAACAAAGACAGCAGAATGTTGTTGACAGCTATTAAAACTGGGTACAGGGAGGTTCATTACATTAGTCTCTCTAACTTCTGGGTACGTTTGAGAATTTCTAAATTAAGAGGTAAAATTAAAAAGCAAAATGTACCTGGGCTAGAATTATTTAGATGTTTGAGTAAATAAAAAGCATATTATCAAGAACCCTGACACTATCTTAGGTTCCTGTTTTTATAGCATGAAGAACTCAGCTGCTTTGATAACAGGCAACATTTAGGGGTCCTTTATTACTAATGGAGCCAATTATGTACTGTCACATATTTGTTTCAAAAGCTGAAATGAATTGTGAGAACTGCAGGTGACCCTTGAGGCCCCCATCTAGTTCTGACTGCAGCAGTGATTGCAAAGCATTTTTAGTAAACGTGAAGACTCTTCATGAAAATACTTTCTTCCCGGCCTGCTTTGTCCTAATTAAAGAGCTAAGAAAAGTGGAACCCAGGGCAGCACTGCTTCACTTCTCATAAGGCGGGTATCTGGAACCACAGGCATAGAAAACACTTGTATCAAACAACGGACTGGACAAAACCCACACAAGGCCTCTGGATCTCTTACCTGTAGCCCAATATTCAGGTATAGGAAGCCGATCGAGCCCCTCTCACCCAGCTCATCCTGCTTCTCAGTCCCACCCATTTCCACAATACACAAGGACTCAGGCTGGGCTGGGAGAGCCTGCATGCTCAGAGGTTGCAAACAGTCCTGTGGGGAGAGGTGGGGGAAAATCACAAAACACAAAAAATTACCAATTTTGGAAAAATATACCCAGAGAAATTTAAATTCTAGGATTGAAGAAGTGCTTTCTTGTACACAGGGAAAAACCCCAGGAGTGAGTTCTAAGACAGTAGTCAGTTATTAGTTAAACTAAATCTCAGAATAAGCTTTGGGAGAATCATGCTTTCCTCTTTTTATCAAAGTGCATAATGATAATGTAAACATACAAAGGACACCTCCCTAAGTCACCTAGGGATCTGGAGCAACTC